ATTAGGTAGTGTATTTAGTTTTCATTAAATTGATTTTTCAAAGTGTTCCTAATTATTGCCAAGGCTTGTTTGCTATTTTTTTCTTAATATATTAGTTATAGTATACGACATTGTGTATTTGTCTCTGTCCTCCTCGTAGTTTTGGTTAAATAGGGCGGCAAAGCTTAAGGTGACTATATTACCCTCACGTATCTTAGTTAATGAATTTGGAGAAAAATTCCACTTCTAAGTGTGGTAAAACAGGCGATAAATTATTTTTATGTAACTATTTAGACGATATTGATGATTGTGATATTTATCAATCTACACAAAACGTACTGTTATTTATTCTGTGACAATATAAAAAATAATTTTGATTTTAAAAATAAACGCTGACTTCAAAAATCGGCAAGTGGAGGCTTTTATTCTTACCTATGTATTATTATACTTTTACTTTTAATTAAAAGTAATTTTTTTTATATTTAACTAGCTACTAGCTGTTCCCCGCGACTTCGTCCGCGTGGAATTTATTACGATTAGATTTAATGAGTTTTATTTTTTTGCTCGGCACACTAATTCTTTTTTTTAAATTAAAGTAGGCAAAGTTACTACTTATAACATCAGCTGTCTGCCAGTGAAAGTCTTGCCATTTCGGAGATTAGCCGGAACAAACAGACACACAGACTAACATTTTAAAAATTGTTTTTTGTTACCGTAGTACGGTATATACTTTCATATGCATTTAGTACAAACAGAAATTACAAACAGACACTTCAATTTTATTTATTTGTATTGACCACCTGATGGTAAGTGGTTGCTGTGGCCAATAGACAACTACATCTATCTTCGATTACGAATCAATATGCAGATTCGTTGTCACTCGTGTGAACTAAGATGGAATGCCTCGTTTCCAGTAAAAAGGGTCTCCGGTTCTCTATACTCACCATACGAAACACAGCAGCGTTATGCTGCTATTTTACGCTGGTATTCTGTGAGAGCGTGGGGCTTCCCCGGTCGAGCCGACAATATACTACTAATATAGCTGCAGCATGGCTCTACCACGTAAAATCTATTCGTGTTATCGCCCTAATATGCCGCGGCATATCTCTAGCAGGTGTAAAATGGCTGTTTTCGCAAACAGATGGACTCCTGTAACCAAAAGTAGGAGTAATACGGAATAGCAACGTAACCTACTTGCCTACAGCTTAAATTTATCTAGAGATATCTTCACGTTGAATGATTTTCCTGTCAAAGTACTTCTTGATTTCAGAAATAAGACTAATCTAAGATGTGGGATATTTATAGTTAAAGTTAAAATTACGGCCTATATTTTTTTTTATATAGGAGAAGCGTGACAAACGAGCACACGGTCCACCTCATGGTAAGTGGTTGCTGCGGCCCATAGACATCTACATCTATCCTCTGTTACAAATCAAAATGTAGATGCGTTGTCACCCGTGAGGACTAAGATGGAATGCCTCATTTTCAGTAAAAAGGGCCTCCGGCCACCTGCACTCACTAAGCGAAACGCAGAGGTAAACCTCTACTTCACGCTGGTTTTCTGTGAGGTCGTGGTACCACCCCGGTTCGAGCCGGCCCATCCGTGCGACATCAAAAGCTGCCGCGTGGCTCTACCACTGTCTAAACATATATGAGTCCCACTGCTGCCTCCTCTCATCTGAGACGGATATGTATAGACTTAGTTCATTGTTATTTGCAATATTATAGAATCGAAAAGCTGTTTTATAACTTTTAATATTTATTTCCGATTATTAACATTCACAAATTATAATATGCTTGCAACATCCACAATCACAACTACAATTAGTGTTACAACTATGACATTCGCATTCGGATTTACAACAACGGTTCTTACAACATCCCTTTTTATTACAAGAATTACAAGAACTATGATTACAATCGGGACAAGTTCCACATTTACATTTTGAACCAGATTCGCATTCTTTATTTCTTCTTTCGCAGCAATTGCAGTTGCACCATGTTGATTTACAAGAACTGGAGTAATCGTTGAGTAAATTATTTGCAAGTCCAAAAGGAAAAGATAATAAGTCATCAAAACAAAATTCATCATATTTATCGTTAATCTCTACTAATATGATTATCGGTTGTTCTATTGCGCCAGGTGTTGATCCGTATTTTTCAGTTCTATCACAGCTTTCATAGAGTCCAGGTAAAACATATGCGTAATATGGATAGCATGTCGATATATACGAGGTGTATTCATATCCCTCCGGATAACAATAAGGATAGTTATATCCCGTCGAGTATGACTCATAGTAACAGGCAGGAGCATTGTAATCTTCCCACCATTGACTACAAGCAAATATTAACTGTAAAAAATGACATAAATCGTTATTCAACAAACGACCCTCGTAAATTATTAGAAGAAAAAAGCGATAATTACCTTAACAATTGTCAGTAGCATCAAAATTGAAGATATTAAATTTTTATGTAACATCTTATTCGAAGCTTTAATATGTCAAAGAGACGAAATAAAATATAACAATTTTTAATATTTGCCATTTATATTAAATTTCCCAGTAATGGAAATTGTTTATGTGCAATACAATAAGTTTTGAAATTGTCAGACAGGCACACGTAAACGTACATGTTATTTCTGTCTTCTTGAAAAAAAAAACAATAGATAATTAAAATTTGTAAGTATTGCATTGAATGAATAATTAAGAAATTTACTTTTCCATTGTAATTGTATAAAAGAAATACATTTTTAATTTCGTAAAGTTTTAATTCATGGAATACATAATAACTTATTAAACGATTACACATGGAAAATTACTGTCATTCGGTTTTTATGACGAGAGTTACTTCGTTTTGATTTTGACCATTACAAGCTTGTATTGACGATGATTGACAATCATCGCAACCTCCAAAAGCAGCCTCAATTACAGGCATAGAATATCCTCCGCCATTAAGGTTTTGAAGAGCATTCCCAATAGGCATGGCAATTGGATACGGTATAAACATACAGTTGCCACCACATGCACAATTACAATTTCCATTATTGCAGCAGTTACATCCACAGTTACACCCGTTGCATCCATTTCCACAATCACAGCAATTACAACAATTACCACACATTCCACAACAATTGCAACTACAGCATCCCTTACAATTAGAAAATCCACAACAATTGCAACAACAGCATCCTTTACAATTAGAAAATCCACAACATTTGCAACATCCACCGCTGTTGTTGCAGTTGCCACCACATCCACAAGAATTTCCGCAACAACATCCTCTACCGCAACCGCATCCAAATCCGCTATTTCTTCTATTTCTCATTGCGAAAAGCAAAAAGTATAGTAAATTATCGTTTTGACTACCACTGTCAAAAATAATAGGAGGCATCGCTGGACTGGCATAAAGGGGATTGTATAAATTAGAGTAGTCCGGGATACATGGTGGCAATGCGGGAAAACATGATTCTGTTTGAGTTAGTGGTTGGATGACAGCTGGAATCACGATTTGGCTTACTGGTTGAACGTAGGATCTCGCAGTTATCGTTGGCGATACACTTGGTTGAGTTATAAACTCGACACGACCGGTGCATTGAGCGTGTACACTGTAAAACTAAAACAAATTTATAATTAACCTAAAATATTTTATATATCTGATTAAAATGAAGGTTTACTTTATTTCAATTAGTTGTAATTTTACCTTTATGATATACAACAATGAGGTTAGCGCCAAGAATTTCTGAGAATCCATTTTTTTGTTTGATTGAATAAACAAATTATTGCAGTTCTTTTATATACTTGTGATTTCAAAAGAATATTATCGGCATATATATTAATTTTGGTGACGTAATTTAAAATCTGTGGTCAAAATAAGCACGTACTGCTTTGGTTAAAGATATAAAATTAAAGGTCCTTCAATAATTAATGTTAATATTATAAACCGAGTTATAAATTTAAAAAAAATATATTTACTACTAGTTACTAGTTCAGCAACTCCGACTTGAATAGTTTTATTAAATGTAAACCGCACGTATATTTCGTAGTGTATATATAAGTAAAATTATGTAAGTCAGTTGAAATTTAAATAATTTTTATTAGATGATATGTAGATTCGTACATATTATTTCAACCTTAATCTATTTTTACTTGCAACTTGCTAATCCAACCCATAAACAGCTGCCACAGACTTTAAATGTAGTCAGTACCTTTGAACACTAAGATAGAGTAACTAGCCGCTGTAACCCATATATCCCTGCCACCAACATCAAATGTAGACTTCAGATGCGTCATCACCTCTGAGGACTAAGAAAGAATGTCTCACTGCCTGCACTTCTATTGTTTTTTTATAGAATAAGGGTCACAAATGAGCACACAGTCCACCTGATGGTAAGTGGATGCTGTGGTCCATAGACATCTATCCTCGATTAAGAATCAAAATGCAGATGCGTTACTACCCCTGAGGACTCCGGCTCCCTACACACACCATACGAAACACAGCACTCACCATTGAGCTGCTCTTTTACGCTGGTATTCTGTGAGATGGTCTGTGCGTGCTACAACCATAATATAGCTACAGCTTCTTTCTACCACTTATAACACATATATAATATATATACTTATATACCAGAACTTACATGTATCTTAAGACCGTGACACTGTTCTGGATAATAGATACACAGCTGCTCATTGATAGCAATCGGTATATATGTGAGTAGAGGGTGGAACCTGATCAAACGAACTCGTATGCATAAAATAAGTAGTAAATAATGTACCTTCTGGAAAGCTTTTGTTGTAGTAATGATATAGTTAATGAAAGACAAATATAATGAACAAAACTTCATTTACTCAATACAAATTCGTTCTGAACTTAAATGTATTATAAATAAAACATTATCTTTAATTATTGTAAGAAAAACATATACATTAATATATATTATATACGATTTTCCCCCTAAATGTATAAAATAGTTACATAGTTTTGAACGACCTTTTAAAATTATGTAGATAAGCTAATTATGGTTGCTAGGTGATAATAGGACAATTAACAGGTATTGGTATGGGATAAGGTATCGGTATTGTACTCCCTCCACAACCGCATCCACCTCCACATCTACCACTACATCCGCCTACGCATCCCCCACCGCCACATCCACACCTACATCCATTGCCATATCCGCAGCAGCAACAACCACAATTACATCCATCACCAAAGCCTCCCCCAAATCGACTTCCATTATCAGTCAGTAGGAGTAAAAGTATAGGTAATATACTTCTTAGGCTATCATCTTCTGAATCTGTTCGTATAACAATTGGATTCCCATAAGAAGGCATCTGCGTTTGACCGTACCATCCATTAAACTGAGCAAAAGCTTGCACCTAGAAAACAAATTATTAATAAAATAAACAGTACGCCCTCTTTCTTGTGTATGTTACGTGATATGGTGAACTGATTTTAATGAACTTTTTTTTATAAACGGGCACACTTCATACGATTTGATGCTATCGCCACGCTAGGTAAACGGATATGCGCAGTACTTGAGATCTTAAACTATTGACACTGATTTGGAACGCTGATCTGTGTATTAACCATCTGAGTAAATACGAAATAGTTTATTATATTACCATTTGCCGGAGGCTACAAGATCTTCTGGAACCTTTCCTATTTTAAATTATCACGTTACCTATGGGAGGAAGAGAAATATTACTCAAACTTGTTTTAACGGACCCGTAATCGAAGTAACGCTTATCGACATGAGATAGATTTTAGTGCAGTGCTCCCACTCACTAATCTGTAGGGTTAGCCAAGTTGACTTTCTACTATCGCTCATGCTTATAATAAATTATAGGAAACTTTATTTCACCTGACTGTCACTTAACTTACTAGTTAGACATTTCATTGATTTTTACCACGTTTTCATTAAGTCATTTTCTTGTTTGTCTGTCGTTTCGAGTGGAATCTTGCAACTCAAATTTCGAGCACTTCCCGATTAGCTATCTGGCTGAAACTTTCAGTGTTGCTGACAACTCTATGACAATGCGTTCAAAATTCATTTATTACCATGCAATGTCAACCTAACATCAAGAAAAAAACAAAAAACTATTATTTTTAAGGCGCATAATAACATGGTTTTTAGATTATTTTTAAATTTTATGTTACATTAAATATTTATAGTTTTCTGTTCGCTTTAACGATTATAGAAAATAAACTTGGCTAAGCCCGCTCTTTTTTTTTCTGTCTGGCGTAAGCGTAAATATGTAGTTATACCGCCATCTATCTGAAGCCAGGAGATATTTCTGGCATTCCCACAGTGACTCTTACGACAACTACGGGACGAAATAGGCTGACGGTTTCTCATATGTACGTACGATTTAACGCAAGTTGCAACAAATAATTTCTTATCATATCGAAACAAATATAAAGTAAGTTTTTAAAAACATATGCAAATTCTTACATCACAATTCTTATAGATCACGGTAGAGTTATAGTTGCAGCACGAATGGGTCGACTCGACTGGGGTAGGACCACGCTCTCACAGAATACCAGCGTGAAATAGCAACTTATTGCTGCTGTGTTTCGTGTGGTGAGTGTAGAGATCCGGAGACTCTTTTTACTGGAAACGAGGCATTCCAGTATAGCCCTCAGTGATGACAACACATCTGCATTTTGATTCTTAATCGAGGATGGATGTAGATGTCTATGGATTACTACATCCGCTTACCATTAGGTGGACTGTGTGCTCGTATGTCACCGTTATTCTATAAAAAAAAGGTGTATATGTAATAAAAAAAATATAAGAAATTAAAATCTTAATAATTCTTACGTTAATATACCCGAGCAGCACAAAGCAGGCTAACCACCATAACGACGTCATTTCAGGAATTGCAAATGAATAATCATATTTTAACTTTTTATAGTTGTATAACGAATGATGTAATTATTAAACAATATTTAACCTTGCATAAGCTTTGGGCCAGTAATAATAAGATTAGATTTCTATGTCTCAAAACATTTAGTAATATTTTTGTAACAAGCCTATAACAGATATTTTTTTATATTTCATTTTATTTTGATGCCTTACCTTATAAATATCACATTTATATAACCTAATAATTTCATAATTATCATTATTACGTAATTTACTGTACTTATTGTTGATGGCGGTTTTTAATTTTTCCATGTACAGAAAATATGGGGAAAAGATAGCGTACAATAATTTGTCATCCATGCATAGCTTCTACTACAAAAAATTAGGATCGGAATTTTAGTGTAAAAAGTTTTTACTTACCGACCCTAATACTAATACTACTAATTTTCCCTCCATAACAAATGATCCTGTTCCTAACACACCTCTCTCAGGATGGTGCCAAATGGAAGTCCGTATCCGTAGTCTCTGCCTAACCTTATGGGTGACAAGCGTAAGTATTTATGTATGTATGTTATGTATAAAAAAGGATTTACTTGTCACATGACAATCCACCTTAGTCTTCAAGGATGGCAACTCATCAGCATTTTGATTTTTAATCGACAACAGATGTTGTACACATCTATGGGCCACAGCACTCACTTACCATCAGGTAAGGCTATGTCCACGTTTGTCATTACATTAACAAAACTAAGTGCGACCAGACTAAAAGAGCTGAAGATGCCCGAGTGATTATAATCAAACTTACTGTTACAAGTGCTCACACGACAAATTATTGTATGTACCTACTTCGTGATTTTAAGCAGTTTATCATTGACGCAACGGTCCCGTAACAGGGTTCTCCCTATCTTAAGCACATAAATGTACAAAATAATATGTATTTACTTTATTTTATTTGTCCTTTATTGTACACCAACATACAGAATGTGAGTAGAAGTAGTAACATTATTTTAAGCAGTCCCATTTGTCCGTGTATATTTGCGTTAGGTATTCGTTTTTGTTCATGATTTATTTTATTAATATTTATTAATATTAAACCAATTTATTTATTCCCACAAAAAAGGTATTACTACTAAGAATTTCAAGAAGTTATTATGCCGTTATTCTAAAACCTTACTTGGTTAGAGTCTGGCTCTAGTCCCTGATGTAGGTTTATAAAACTTATAGTAGGTACAGGTTACTAAGACATACCTTATCTTCGGATAAATAAAGTTACAGCTCACCAGGCTCTCCCAAAAATAGTTTCTCGAATCCAACATAGACGCATTATAATTAGGTAGTAATAATAATATATCAATTTTAAGATATGTTTATTATCTCAGGATACATAAACACACAAATATTTGTTCTTTTAGTTTTCTAAGCTTGAACAAACATAAATTATAAAAGTAGGTAGCATCATGTCATTCAATGATTGTCAAAATGAAATAAGAATTTACACGACGAACTGAAGCTTTTTTTTTGCGTTTTTAACACCCACTATTCAACAGCAGCAGGAACGGCAGGATTTTGTCCAATATGTTATCATCTTTTACCACTATGACTGTCGGAGGCGGAGGCGGAGGAGGGCATATTAACCCATATCCAGAAGCGTAGTCTCCACCATAGCTGCACACACGAGCTTCTGTAATCTTTTAGGCAAAATTACGAAATATTATATCAAAGCCTACATTGTAGTGTTTGTAAAATGTTTCAATGTAATATTAAGCCGCGTATCCGCCAAAAATGTTGACAACATTTATGTTTCCAACTGTTTACAACTGTTTCCAACAAGCGTCTCCACCGAGGGAACAAATGTTTGCAACAAGCGTATTCCTTTGATGTTGCCGCCGAAAATGGAAACACGGTTCCCAACATTGTTTCAAGTTTTGTTGCCAATACAACAGTTGGTAACAAAACTTTAGTGGAGACGCGGCTTTAACGATGTTTAGGTCTAAGAAGTCTAAGAAGAGTCTCGTAACATTGAACATAGCATGTATCAAAGATGTTTTATAGGTATAAATTTCTAACTTAAATGTGTATAACTAGTATCCGTTTAAGTCAAAAATTTGTTATTAGGTATAAATATATAATCTAAGATATAAAAATTAATGTTTATTTGTTCGTTTTTTATGCACTGCCTTGCCGTTCATCAGATTGCGGTAAAATTTTTGTCAACTTATTGCTTACACTTGCGTGAAGTTTATAGACATGGTACTATTAACTTACACTAGGTGGCGTGCCTATCGCACCGACAAATTTATTTAAAAGTTATAGATTATTAAATTTCAATGATTCCTGATTAAACAATATAACTCCTCCAAATTTAAAACGATATTTCCACAAATATTTTTTCTGCGACTGCAATGCGCCGGGTACCAGCCAGTTACGAGTATTTTATATAATTTACTTTACAATAATGTATTATTTGTTATTCTATTGTCATATGGAAAACAAGCAACGCAAAATGTTCTACTTTACAAAATTTCTGGAATATATAGAAAGCTTATATCTTACAATCTTTGTTCACGGTAAAATAGTTATATCTTTCCGTCAATACATATATGCTATAATATATATATATATATATATATATATATATATATATATATATATATATATATATATGCCACCGATTTCACACTTGAAACGACTAGTTTACGTGCAGTACAAAGGCTCTAACAGAATTAACTGCAAGGAAAATTTCACAGTGGGAGTACTCGTATTAAAACCTTAACCATCATTGCCACTTTTTATCATACTTTTTAATTTTGTATAATACAATATAGGGAGATATATCTGAAAGTAATAATTTAAAATTTAAAATTTTGTACAGCCGACTTCAATATAAGTTATTAAGAATAACCATTGGTCTGACCTTGATCAAATTCATATGGGACCACACGAGAAGTATCAGCTTTCATATAAAAGAAGAATCATCGAAATCGGTCCAGCCAGTAAAAAGTTATGAGGTAACACACATAAAAAAAAACATACGCGTCGAATTGAGTACCGTCTCCTTTTTGGAAGTCGGCAGAAAAGTGACAGCCTGCATACACTCAATTACTTGCTTTCTATAAATTGTCACAAGGTTTTGGAGCAGACTTTTCCTATCTCTGCCTGTTAGCAGAGTTCACATTTTCATGAAATATTTTCTATTATATCAGATAAGCTATTCCTTACTATGTTTTGCCAGACCGTCGAGCATTTGGTAAATGAGTACTTAAATTTTTTCTTAACAATTCTAATGGTACTTTAATTTGTAATGGTGTATTGTGAAACTGACCTAACATTACACTTTAACGCGGCGAGTATATCATATAATGAGGAGTCAATAAACGAATTTCCTAAAGTACCGACACCACATTTTAGAAATTAAGTTTAAGGGGAGTGCTCAGTCCCAAAACTGCCACGGCTTCTAGAGTAATAAATTCATAAAGTAGTCGTAGCAACGATGTAGGGAATTATGACTACAGCAGGAATGGGTCGGCTCGATCGGGGAAGAACCACGCTCGTATAGAATACCGGCTTGATATTACTGCGTAATACTGCTGTGTATTGTATGGTAAATACGAGAACTTTGAACCCTTTTTACTAATAAGACATAAAGACATAAACTGTCTGATGATGATGACATGACTGTCTGTCACTTTTGCTTCTATAGAAAATATGGTTATAATTTAATTTTAAGAGGATAATTTACTACTGGAAAGTCCGTTATGATGGCCCAATGTAACTTGGGTAATATTTTAATTCTCAGTCTTACATATTTCCTCACTCTGTTTCCTTTCACAGGAAAACAGTTCAGTTAAAAGGCGTTTTAAAAATAAAAGGGGAAAATTTATTAAACTTAAATCTATATTCGATGAAAAAATAAATACTTAAAGAATAAGAACACATCACAAATCAAATTGTTTGTATGAATTGTCTGAATGTAATTTTACTAATCATCGTCATTATTTTCGATAGAGTCATTTTCTTCATCGTCGTCGAAACTACTCAAATTCTCACTATCTAACTCTGTACTGTCATCTGGGATTATGTTTACATCATTCTGTGGAGTCTTACGATCTTTCGGATGTACAGGTGTATCTCCTTCATATTCGTTATTTTTTATTGCCGTTTCTTCCGCATCCTTTAATAGTTCTTCGTTAGAATGTTGAAATGTTGTTTGCGTTTCGTGAATAATATTATGATTTCGTGAACATTCACAATTACAACAGTGTCGGCATCCACAGTTTGAATATTTATCTTGCAGTAAATTTAATAAAAGAGGTAGCAAACTCTTTAAGCTTAACTTTGAGTCTTGAGAATTAAATTGTGGATTTAAGTTTGTCTGTACTGGATAATTCGACGACACTACATATTGGGAGGAAGCAGAAGGACCTTTTACGGAAGATAAAATGGATGACAACAAAGCGGACTGGATAGACGATTCTGGTTGATTTAACAAGGAAGTAATAGGCATTTGACCTTGTAAAATATTCAACGCTACATCTGGTATTTTTAAATTCGATCCCGACTTTTTCGTTAATTCCAGATGTTGATTATAATTGTCGTTTAGGTTATTGGTAGGTAATACTGGCACAGAATTCGTAATAGTCATGATTGGACCTGCCGTTGGTCCTGTTGAAGTATATAGTGAATTATCTGTGACAACTACAGGCTTATACGTTGGGGAAACATAATTTTGAGGACTTACAACATATATGTGATCTCCTGTATGTTTAGAAACGTGGCTATTAGTTATTCCAGCGGGTACGGCTGCTATTACCGTTGGATTAGGACTCACTGAAACTTTTACCAAATGTGATGATGTAGGCAATGATAAAACTCCGGTCTGCTGATATGGTTTTTGATATGAAATTAGTTGATAGCCACCAATATTATTACAAGGAATTTGTTGTTGTTGGTCCTGCTGTAAGCTTGTTTGCCGGTTTAATATTGGACTACAATTAG